TGATAAGATTGTAGCTGGATCGCAGACGCTGTCCTCTCAGACCGAGACGCACCAGAAGGGAGATGTTGAATGCCATCGTACGGTGACTGAGGCGTAAGCCTCCTGTTCCAGCAAAAGTGTGGAGAGATTGTCGTTGGTGCCGCGCAGAGTTATTGACGCGAGGAAGAGACGCAGAGAGAAGAAATGAATTTAGAGTAAACAAGTATTGGTAATTGAGGGTATCGACATTGGTCGAGGGAGATGTGTTTAGTAATGACGAAGAAGAGAGTGTCTTCGACCACGGCCTTGACGGCGGTGTCGACGAGCATCTTGTGTCAGTTCCTGCTGCTGTGGAACGGTTGGGACGGGTGCGAGAGTGAGAGTCTCGCGGGATCCGTGGATGTGTGTGGATCAGTCTGCAGGAAGAGGTGAAGCAGCGGCGGAGTCGCGAGGAGTGGCGACTTTGAGTGTGAGCTCTGAGACGGACGCGCTGCACGAGTTGATCTCTGACGAGCTCAAGGAAATTTAGGAGGGAGAGAGAGACCGGACTCGTATTCCTCTGGAGTGTCGAAGTACTCGCTGTCGTATCCATATGTCGCGTAGGGATCCTCGCTGCGCGCGCTGACACCTTTCACGATATCTCGCTTCGTCTCCATACGCTTCCTTGACCTCCGTCTTGATGTCGAGATTCGAGCATCATAAATAACACAGCGCAACCTTCACACCTCGTGTTTTTGTCACGAGACGTGTGACCACAGCAGGTACACTGCAGCAGCACAGTAAGCTTCCAAGACCGAGTCTCGAGTCAAACCACGCACAAGATTAATGAGATCTATCTTGATGGATCACGCCAATCTTTAGATCGGGTTTTGCCCGCTACAGATCCATCAGTGAGCGTGCGACTGTACCGTTTATCGCTAAACTTAATTTCGGCCTTTAAAACATGACTTGTCAAAGCGAATGAAAGCTTTACAATCTAAAGGCACTTGCACTTGCAATTTGTAGCTCCCGACGATTTACACGTAATGTGGTCTACAAGCACGAATTAATCCCTATATGGCTGTCCGTACA